TTTTCATAAATAATATATATAGTGTGCATTTTTTCAACGCTTCGTATCTTGAAGAGACTTTGTCCAAAACTTCTGAAATTTTTTATGCAAACTAGTCTAGCTGAGGCCTTTATGCAGGCAAAGTTTTAGATCAAAATTCGAAAGTATCGCTTTGCTGCCAATGTGGATGTACTATAGAGAAAATTCACTGGACGCTCCATATCTCCTCAGAAACAAGCCAAAAACCCGAACTTTTTTTTACCATAGACACAGCTCACTAAGAGCTATAAGATGCGCGAAACCTCGACTGAAAAGCGCTCTGGCACCTGGAAAGGCTCCCTTGTTAGTTGACAAGTGTGTTGACACTTACAAGTCTTTGTTTGTGATTAGTACCCAATGAGTATGTTAGTCGTAGTGTTGGTAAAAGAAGCGTCGATAAACTTACTGTCGATCCATTGTATCCATATTTTTGATTTAATGGTGTTATTGACAATTGTTGTGATATTAGTGATTTACCTTTCGTCAGAAACTTTGAAATCAACGTTATTAACTTGATTTCTAAAAATTATGATTTAAGTCATAGATTAGATTGATATGCACATTATCGAAGCTATGATTTTTCTTAGTAGTAGATAATTTCTAAGTGGAGCTCTTTTGAGAACTGAACTACCTTGAACGACAGAACGATTTTTTGAGCTATATTTTTTTGTTGCTGCTTTACAATTTGGTTAAGTAATAGCTATGTACCAGATAGTTCAAGTTCAAAGATGGCACCTACACTTCATCAATATCTTTTTCATGTTTCGCTTGCTAAGCTCGAAACAGTTTTTTAAAGCTTCTTTCTTAATTCTACCCAAGAGTACATTGAAAAAGGTAATGTTAGATAGCAAGGGTAAAAAGTCAAAATAAAATTGTTTTGAAACTACAACATGTGGCAATTTCTAAACAATTTTCGAAAATAATTCTGACTGTATTTCGTAGCTTTACAGGTTGTTTGCATAAATCAGATACTACTCTATTTTTTTGTGGCGAATGGTGAATTCAGTTTCTACGAAGTTTCTGTTTGATTCAAGAAGGAATTGTTGAAAATGCATTGAAAATTAAGCATCATTTGTTTATTTTTACATTTCATTCATTATGTGAAAAATGGCGTACTCAAAGTCTAAACTTTTCTGAAGTATGTTATTCGTGTCATGTTGCATTAAAAGCAAAGATTAGTGTGCATGACTTATTGTTCACTGATGCGTGATGAGTTTCTTAGTTGTATTCAACCCATCGTTCCGAGAATGCGTTTTTTATCGAATAGTACATTTTTTAATACGAAACGAACTAGATTGAGGCTGAACAATAGAACCTTCCAATTTTGAAAAATAGCGTCTATGTTCTTCTAGTGCCTTGCAATATGTAATAATAACCAAAAAAAAAGAAATTTGTTCTTCTGCAAGAAAGTTGGCTCTGTATATATTGACACTTTTGAAAATAGTTTTTGTTTAATTATTCACAATTGTAATTTGACATAAACCTGTCTTACATTGTTCCAAAGAAGTACGAGTCTTAAACGATGAAAACCGAAAGAGATACTCACAAGATATAAGCATGACAATTTCAGATACATAAACCCGTAGACAGTGATGAGACATCATGAATAGGTCGTACAAATGAAACAAAATAGTACTTTGTTCTATTTGTCATTTAGGTTCATGGTTTTAGTCATCATCCCGATTCGAGTATAAGTCTACGCCACGATATCAACTAGGATTCAGGCTTCATTCTCGTTCCCCATCCCGCTTTCATTTCCTGTGAGGGTGTCAGAGGTCCAAACAGGTCCACTTTTTAAAGACCTGGTCTGCCTGTGCCTGTTCTCTGCTTTCCTCGGCCTGACCGGTCTTCCTGTCTAGACCTGTGTATTTTTTCATATCAATAGCATGATAAAAATACCATAGAAAGAAGTAGTAATCTTCATAAAAAGTCGTGTTAGTCACTGAATTTAATCTGCATGTCTTCATTGAAAAGTCTCTAATTGAAAAGTTTATAAGATTTGTCAGCTTTTCAATTAAAGAAAGGTATCATGCTTCTTTGTAATTGAGAGCATGTGAAATTAAGGATAGAACAAATACTGTTCATTTCCAAAGGTACCTCTAGTCAGCCGGAGTATAAAAAAGCATAGTTTTCAGTTCACTTAAAAAGCGTTTTCTCTCATGAACGATCGATTTCTAGTCAAAATCGCTCAGCGAAGATTGACATCGTTCTGAATAAGCAAATAACTTCATTAAAGAGACAGCTACAATGGCTACCTGTAAAAACTGCGGACACAATTTCAGGTAAAAAACAGTTCATGTAAAAGTCAGAAAAGATCCATTTTTCAATGACTAAAATCATTATTCTTTTATCGATTGTCAATTGGTAG